GCAGGCTCCTAATTAAACCTCAGGCTTTGAGAGCAGCAGGCAGTGGCTGTGCTCAGGGATGCTGAGAAGCTCTGTACTGAGCAGCATCCTTCAGAGGGAGACCACTGGATTGGGGTCCACAGCCAGTGCAGGTCGATGGTATCAGAGCAGTTCTGGTCAAACACCCTCTGATTAAAAACARCCTCAGCTACACAATTGAGAAGTCAATATATTGTGATCTGAAGTACACTTCTGAGAGGTTTTTGAAGGTTCATAAACAAAATAAAATAACAGTAACAAAACCCCCCAACAGTTCAGCTGAAATCTTTTCCTGCTGAATACTTTAATCTTCAAAAACATTCCTGCAGACTTCAGAGAGGATTTTAGTGCTATCAAGCTGTTTGGGCCTTATTTCTCACATCTCTTCCTACYAGGGATGAGAACAGCTGAGGTGTGCAGGACAGTGACATCAATTTGAACAGAAATGGGTAATAAGGAGTTAGTGCACTTCTTGTGAGGGATTTCAGCTTTCAGGCTRTGATGTGAGGGATCTGAATGGCACCAACACCAATTTCAGCCTTTGCTTGGCCTGCTCAGCCCCCACCTGCTTGTGTGGCCTCACAAATTGCAGAGCATCCCCTCGAAGCAAGTGCTGACCTAAAGTCAGCTTCTGGTGRGAGCCAGCTGAGCCAGCTGTGCAGGTATCTGGTGTGAAGGTGCTGACATTGCCATCAGATTGGGAGGAAAGCAGATCCAGATATCCTACACTGGCCCTTTGTCCTGTGCAGCCTGTGACTTGTGTGGGGAAGGGAAGACAGTTCCCAAATCTCTGTAGACTTGGCATTTGTGAATGTAGCTCATTAGCACCCAYAGTTTAAAGGGTTTTGTGTTTTTGTGTGGTACCACCTGCAAAGATCTGAAGCAGATCTTTCTTTCATGGTCCTGTGAGTCAGTGCAGAGCCTGAAATAATTTCAGCCTCTGAAATATACGTCCTCTGATGTCTGTATTCATAAGCTACAGTCTCTTACAGCCATGTGGGAAAAGCTTTGTAAGAGTCTAGATTAGCTACTTACTTTTTTATGCTGCTAAAGAGGTCCCTGTAATGGGTATTTCGGGAGAAAATGGAGCACTTTTTCCTAATTTGTTTAACCACTGAAAGCAGTGGAGGAGCAGATCCCTCACCACTGTGGATAGATCAACCTGTGAGCAGCCACGCCAGTCCACACAAGCTGAGGGTAGAGCCYGGCCTGTTCTGAATATTATCTCTGTTGATTTGTATGGTCTTTTGCTCATTTGGAGCTTTAATTGTATGTGTTTGACAAAACCAGAAAGGGAGTGAGGTTTATTATTGTTTTGATACAGTCTCTAAAGGGAAGCTTTTTATTAGCATTTTAATACRGCCCTTTGTAAACACCCAGCAAAGWAAAGTGCTGAGTCCGGTCCTTATGCTGGTGAAGCCACAGAGTTTTCTTTGGCTTCAGTAGGAGCTGGACTGGATTCAGTGTTCGTGCTAAACTCCAGCATTACCAATAATGAGTTCATGTGTTTTATATATTGATGCTTTTTGCTGAACGGTGCATCGGCTTTTTATGATTTGGTGAAATATAAAAATAATTTATTTGAAAAGTCGGTGTTTCTGTGCTTGCTCTTTGAGGGTGAATTTAAATTGTTACAATGTAAGATTAAAAAAAAACAGTTCTCAAAGTCAGTGGTGGTGTCTTTGTGCTCATTCCCCAGCCTCTCCATGCCACAATTTGTATAATTTGTATAGTCAAGGGTTGCCCCACCATCCTCAGCTGCCTGAGCTCTTTTGGTACCATATTCCAGCAGTTCACCCTAATCCACTGGGGACAAGGAGAAAATGGTCCTGTGTCACCATGCAGCTGAAAGCCTGTTTGTTACCAAATGCTGCACGGACAGGCTGATTTCTAAATGCCAACTGGTTAATTTTCTGCATGTAGCATCAGTCTTTCTCTTCAGAGGTGGGCCCAAAGGTTCCCAACAGCTGTCTTGGGACAAGGAGTTAATAAGAAACAAGTCCACATTATTATCTTAGAGGTTCCTGAGCTCTTCCTTGAGGGCAGTGGGTAACATCCTTTTTATAGTCACAAACTGCCAGCTCTTCTGCTTGCTTCTAAGTGGCAAAAGGCAGAAATGACAATTACAATTGCTGCTCTGGGCTCATTTCTAGGGGCTCATTTCCAGACTATCAGTGTTGGAGAGATGAAGGGAGGCAGGGGGACTTGAAGCATCTTTGGGGCTGCCTTTTACCAGTGCTAATGCTGAGGGCATCAAAAGGTTAATGCAAAAGCATCCAGTGTCACCTCGCTATGTCCTTTTGTATCTGCTCTAATCCTGTGGGTATGGATACGCCTGCTGCTGCAATCAGGTGCTGTTGATGTGCCTGARGAGGGTGTTGGCAGCTGCCCTCCATCCGTTCACACTGCAGGAATGTCCTGAACACTGTCAAAGCAACACTAACCCTTCTGCTGTTATATTAGAGTATATATTAGTTATATACTCTGCAAAAGGGATTTTAAGCAGCACTTCTGCCCTTAGGCCCTGTCATTGCTCCAYTGTCATGCACAGACCTTCTACTCCTCCCAGCCCTTTGTCTCCTGCCGCCCCAGACCCTGCTCCTGGGAATCCCTCCTACCCACTGTCTGCTTCAAAAACTGCTGCAAGGCTCCTGTCCTACATCACTCCCTCTTTCAATTCTTTATATCTAAAATATGACCATTTCCAAGATGGATTAAATAATTGCCCWGAGCTGTTTGTCTGCAGGATTTTTGATTTCTGAAGCTATCCACCAAACTGGCACCAGCATGAATTCAAGTGAGCACCTCCACTGTTTACAATAAATTATGTAATCTGTCTCCTTTTTAGCTCTATTGAGAAATTCTCAGGTGTTGTACTGAAGGGAAATATTACTCAGCATGGCCTGCAAGAAGGTTATTACTCAACACATGATTTTATGTAACTTTAGAGCTCCAAACTCACAAAGGTGTTACACCCATCAAAACACCACTGAACAAGAATAAKGAGAAATCCCATCCAGCTCACAGTGGTGAGGATAAAGCTGTGATGGCTAAAGAACAGAATGAAGCTGCAGAAAGGGAAAAGGGGCTGTGTGTGTTCAAGCAGGATGGATGAATGGAAAAAGAGCTTCTGTTTGAGGAGATAAAACAGGTAATCCCACAGTGAAGTTGTGCAGCAGTAAAGAAATGCATGCCCAGGAGCTGGAATTTTTTCTCCTATTCCCAGTCATGTTACCGACCTACTTCGTTCACTCCCACATGCAATGGCTTTCTTAGCATCAGTTTCATCACCTACAAAATGCCACAGGTCRGCCAGGAATGCCTTTTAGTTTATATTTATTTCAAGCCTTCTGCTTTGAGGCAAATTTAATCTGGCTTTCTGCAGCCTGCCAAGTGTCTGACTGATCACAGTAAACAATCCTGACCCAGGAGACCTTGTAAAGCCATGGTGAGACCTCAACAGATAACTCAAGTGCTGCCTTTTCCCATGCCCAAAACCATCCCAAACAGAGCTAACACAAAGGCCAAGAATAGCCGTTCYTCTGCTAAATATCCCTGACAGCCCAGATGTGATAGCAGTTCTCACTCACACCAGTAAAGCTGGGCCCCAGCAAAAGGAACATGGACATTTTCCATTTAAAGCAGGCTCAGTGGAAGGGTGGTCCTGTGTCCATCTCTGGGGGGGCTGTGCAGGAAAGTGAGCACACACAAGGCCTTCATACCACCTGCACATTTTCCCTCACAGTCCTGAGAGGAGTTCCTGTTTTACCTGAACCTTCAGCTTTTTCAGTGTTACCATAACCAGATTGCTGATATTCGGAAGGGTTCACTCCACTGCTTTTGCTCTTGAGGCTGCTCTTGTCAGCTCAGCCTTTGCATTTGTGCTGCACTGTGCCACGACTTGGAGCAAGGGGACTGTCCCTTCAAACAGTCTCCTCTCTGGAAGGGKCTGGTTGCTGCCTGCTGGGAGGGTGTGTCAGTCCAGAGCCTCAGAGGAACACCACTGATTCGCCAAAGAGCATCAACATGGACATGAAGATCATAAACTTTAAAAGATGCAAACAGAAGTTGCAGTGAACCCCCCTTGCCTCCTGCAGGTGCCAATCTGAACCTTTTCACCAGACATTCACCACACACAGGTTTAAAACCTTTCTTCTTTATTACCTAGACAGCAGGGCTGAGACAGGGGAGAGRGGAGGGCAGCAGTGGTGGGATTTACCCTCTGAGCTGGGGTCCCTGAGTGGTTTGCACACAGACCCCTGAGCCAAACACTTCTCCTCAGCACTCTCTGCTCCCCAGACTGGAGCAGCCTCTGCTTCCCAGGCTGAACGTGTCCAGTGCAGTGCCTGCAGCTTTGACAGCTTAGGAGGAGCTTGAGAACAGCCACTGAAGGCATTTCTTTCTGTCTGGGGCTGCAATTTTTCTAACTTGTTCTCTCAAGTTTACTGCCCACTCTCCTCTTGAGAGAAGGTTGCACGTTGTGTTTCTGTTTATCCTTTGTTAAAGTCCTTGGGCTGTTTGGGAGAAGGTTGGGGCAGATGTACGGCCTTCTTTTAAAAAAATAACTAAAAATAGAGCACCATTTTTCCTTTTGGATGGATGCAATGGCAGGGGAATTCAAGCCAAGGTCTTGCAAACATCTCTTCATCTTCTCTGTAGTGGGTTTCCCCCCCCC